ATCAGCCAAGTCACGATGATGACAACGACGACAACTTCTGATTATTGGTTGTTTTTTTTTTTTAAGATGGGTTTTCACCATGTTGGTCAGGCTGGTCTGACCATTTGCTGAAAAGACTCTATTTTCACCACTGTATTGCCTTTGCTCTTTGGTTAAAGATCCGTTGACTATATTTGCATGAGTTTATTTCCAGACTCTATATTCTGTTCCGCTGATGTATTTGTCTGCTCTTTTACCAACACCATACTGTCTTGATTACTGTAGCTTTGTAATAAGTCTTAATGTCTGGTAGTGTCAGTTCTCTGACTTTATTCTTCTTCTGCAATGTATTTACTATTTTGTAACTTTTGCCTTTCTTTATCAATCATCTAAAATAAGTGTGTCGATATTCACAAACTAAACTTGCTGAGCTTTTCAGTAGCATTGTATTGAGGCTACAGATCAAGTTGGGAAGGAATGACATCTTAACAATATTGAGTCTTATCCATGCACATAGAATATCTCTCAATTTATCCAGGTCTTCTTGCATTTCTTATCCAAGTTTTATAGCTTTTGTCATATAAATCTTGAACATATATTGTTTAGATTTACACCAAAGCATTTTGTTCCTTTGGGTGCTAATATAAATGGTATTATTATTATTTTCAAATTCCAATTGTTCATTACCAATAATTAAACATAACCTTTTAATTTGACTTTTATTTCTTTCCTCTAGAATTTCTTCTTTTTCCTCTTAAATAATTTTAAGGTCTGTTTTTTTTTTCTTGAGATGGAGTCTCACTCTGTCACCCAGACTGGAGTGCAGTGGAGCGATCTCAGCTCACTGAAACCTCCATCACCCAAGTTCAAGTGATTCTCATGCCTCGGCCTCCTGGGTAGCTTAGCTGGGACTACAGGTGCCCACTACCACACCTGGCTAATTTTTAAATTTTCAGTGGAGACAGGGTTTCACCATGTTGGCCTGGCTGGTCTCTAACTCCTGACCTCAAGTGACTGACCCACCCCCACCTCCCAGAGTGCTGGGATTATAGGCACAAGCCATCACACATGGCCCCTGTTACATAATTTTTAAGAGTGCAAAGGAGTCTTGAGGTCACAGTGTTTGTGAACTACTAGTGTTTTGGATTGAGCATGGTCTTTGGAGCCATGTGGAAGAAACTAGGTTTCAATTCTATCTTTAACACTTACTTTCTCTATTGCTCTAGGGACCTTGTTCAGCTTTTCTTTGTCTCAGTTTGCCTATAGGCAAAATATGATAACAAAAAGTAACTACTGTATATGGCTGTCTTTAGGATAAAAGTGACAATATCTAGAGTGTGTACGACACATAAAAGGAACACAATTAATAGTAGCTATTGTTATTTCTATTGTTTTGACCCAGTCATTTTACACTAGAGAATAAACCTCGAGAAAATAACTTCAAAGGTGGTATTGGGCTAAAAGACATCTTATAAAAAATGTTTATTCAACACTCTAAATAATAGTAGCAATATGTCTGGCTACCATATTTTGACATTTTAGAGTTGAATTATGACCGTAAGAAACTTATTAGCCTGTGTTATGAACCAAACATTTTTTTCATCAAGGAAAGAATTGCTGTATTACTGATAAGAGTCATTAAGATGATTATGGCAGATCACTACCTTTAACCTTAAATTGCAGCAAAGCCATGAAGATTAGTATGCTGTAGACACTGCCTTTCACAATGGAACCTTGTAGAAATGGGACAGCAAAATTCTCAAGAGAAATGCCTTCTCTATCTGTGGGAGTTCATTTCAACTGCTGACTTGCCAGACCCATGTTTTAGCAGCTTTCAACATAAAGTTTCCCTCAAAAAGGATTATGTTTTGGTTTACTTTTTGTAAGAAATTATTGTTTCTGTTCTCTGCTTCTAAAATGCACTTTGTTTTGATTTTTGTGAGTTTTGCTTTTCCAATTTCATTGACATTTTGTTCAGGTAAGATATTTCTGGCTGATGTTTCATTTAAAATTACCAATTTGAAGGAGTATTTTCCATGGGGGAGGAGGACACCTACTTCCTGGACCTTGACCAGAGACTTCTCTAGGTGCAGGGAAATTTGAATCGTGTCTGTCAGACCCATGACTGCCACAAGAAGATATCTCAAGACCTGACCCAGGAATTGAAAAAAAGACACTTCCAGTTTTCAGAGGGAGATAATATTCCATGAGAAATGGCCCTGGAGGGCTGATGGCTGCCACATCCACTGAGAGAATGCTCCAGGTGCTCTAGAAAGAAAATTACAGCAACAGGCAGAAGCTGGCTGACTGCAAGGCTAACTTCTAGTCTTCCCTGAGAGGTGCTTTGGCTTCTGGGCCTCTGCCCGCAGCCCACAGGGTCCTGGAAGTACCAGGGGGACTGTGGACCACCAGGGCCTCCAGGAGGGAGGCAGGTCACAATGTGAGAGCTTGGGTCCAGAGCACCTGCTGGTTTGATTTTGTTTTCCCTGTAGCCAGGTCCTGAATGCCCAGAGACTCTGCAGAACATCAGCCAGTGCTGCTACCTTTAAAGCATTTTTGATTGATCTCTTGTTTAGCTACAATTCATTAGTTGGTGCCGAAATTGCTCTTACTGAAGTCTGATAGGTAGCATTAGAATTGTAAAGTACTGTTTTTCATGTACTTTACAATTTAATATAAAAACAAAAACCAAAGGCTGCTAAAAGACATTCTAATCTTTTATTTGTGTAATACTTTTCTCATGTGAGACTCAAAACAGAGCAAGACTCCATCCTCCGCCACCAAAACAAAAAATCTTTGTAATGATGTTCCTGTAAGCTATGTTTGTATAATTCGGGATTTAAGAAATATCTCTATAATGGCCTCTTTATAAAACTTGGTGAATATTTTTTCTAGAGCATAAAAAATAATTATATGAAATAAAAATGGAACACAATTTACTTAAGGTGACTTTAAAATTAGAAATACGATTTTTCTCTGTTACTTATCCTCCAGGAGTAATCCAGTAGCAGTGGTGTTACCTTTGCTCCATGACATCGTTAATAAAAGGACTATTAAAATATCTTAGGAAAATCTGATGAATTCTCTTAGTGATCCATATTCTTGGGGTTTGAGGGTGATGTGTAATTACTCCCCTCCACACAACAGCCACCGGCCTCAAATCAATACCAGTTAAGAAACAGAACATATTAGGGTAGGTGCAAAACAAGTTTATAAATGGATAAAGCTTCCTCTGTGATATGAGGACATATGAGGCTGCCAACTCACTTCCTCACTGAAGTTTGCTCTCCGAGCACAAGTGAAGGCCACTTCTGCTGTGGGCAGAGGCGGAAAGTACAGTTGCAGAAAGTACGGGCTGGCAGCAAGTACAGTTGCTCGCTCCTGCCACATGTAATATTATCAGTCAGTTCGCACATAAGTTCCACAGAGCAAATCATCACTGATCGTTAGATGGTTGTACTGTTTAAGAGTTACGTTTAACTCATGTGATTTAAAAGAAGAAAACAGAAAACAATGATGGCTTAAGCAAGAAGGAAGCTAATTTCTCTCTCATGCAAAACACATCCAGAGGCCTGTAATCCAGGCGAACTTTGCAGGTGCATTAATTATCCAAAGTCTGGCTTCTTTCTGTTTTTGCTCTGCCAGGTGTCTTCCACATGGCGCAAGATGGCTTCTGAAGCCCCAGCCATTACATGAGATCCATATTAAATGCTGAAGAAAGGAAAAAAGAAGTGGAAAAGAGCATTTTCATGCTTCTTCTTCTTAAAAAAATTTTCTCAAAACAGTGCACGATAGTTCTATTTTTAACTTATTTGCCAAAACTCAGTAACATGGCCATCCCTTGCTGCCGAGGAGGCATAAAATGTTGTCATTTGTCAGTGTTCAATTAGTACTAGGGCCATAAAAGAAAGCAAAAGGGGGAGGATGTATCTGGGGCAACTAGCTGATTCTTACTGATAAAGCAACCTATGAATGAATGATGGCAGACAGCAGCCCCTCTAATCTCTTGAAATGAAAGTGTTTAAATCATTCAAATTCTTTTAAATTAAATTCTTACTCTTACCCATTTTCAGTAGCATATAGTTCTGTGATGGTATCAAGTTGTAAATCCAACTCTTCATAGGACACAGATAATGATTTCATTAAATAAAATATTTATATCAACCTTTCTTTCTTTTCTTTTTTTTTTTGAGATGGAGTCCCACTCTGTCACCAGACTGGAGTGCAGTAGTGTGATCTCGGCTCATTGAGATCTCCGCCTCCCTGGTTCAAGCAATTCTCCTTTCTCGACCACCCAAGTACCTGGGATTATAGGCAGGTGCCACCACACCCAGCTAATTTTTGTATTTTTAGTAGAGATGGGGTTTCACCATGTTGGCCAGGATGGTCTCAATCTCTTGACCTCATGATCTGCTGGCTTCAGTCTCCCAAAGTGCTGGGATTACAAGTGTGAGCCACCATGCCCGGCCAACTTCTCAATTCATATCTCCACCCCAAATACATAAAACATACATTCTTATCAGTATCACATCACACCTATTCTAAAAGTGACTATATAATTGGAAGCAAATCACTCCTCAGTAATTGCACAGCATTTCACAGGTTTAAATGAAATATTGGTTGGCTGCTTGTTTGTTATTTTCCTCCCTTATTCCTTCCTGTTTCTATTGTTAAGCACAATTATTGGCATAAAAGGGGTTTCCAATACCCACTTTTAGACTGCATTCCAGCCTGGGCAATAAAGCAACACTCCTGTTCTCTCTCCCTCGTTCTCTTCCTCTTTTTTTCTTTTTTCTTCTGTCACTAGAGGAGGGCCCCTGGTAAAGTCCCAGGCCACGCCTCTGTGTTCCTCAGCAATACCTGGAGCCCACGTTACCTGGGAACCCCGCTTTGTGATGGAATCCTGTGCATTTGAACTAGTCTTGTGAAGGGAGGTGTTCAAGGATATTTGGTCGGATTGTCCGACGGTGCTAAATGTTTCTTTTTCCGAGTGGACTGGGTCGGCCGCTAAAGTCACCGCGATGTTGTCCTGGTTTGGGGGCCTCAGCTCCACATGGGGCCAGACTCTGGGTCAAGTCAGGGGCAGCCTGGCTTCCCTCGCTGGCCAGATTTTAAACTTTACAAAGTTTATACTGACGGGGGGCACGGAGGAAGTGGAAGCAGAATTACCTGATTTTATGACAAAGGAAATTGAAGCCATTCATGAGATCTTGAGATCAGAGAATAAAAGGCATAAGAACCTTTGTACTGATCTACAAGAGAAACATGAAGCATCAGAGCTTCAAACAAAACAGCAATCTACAAGTTACCAAAATCAACTTGAACAAAAAGAGGTAAAAATCCACCATGGTGAAGCCAGACATACTGTGCTCCAGGACCAGATGCTGAAACTGCAGTCAGCTGCTCAGTCAGTACCTTCAGGAGCTGGCGGTGTACCAGCAACCACTGCGTCTTCTTTCGCTTATGGGATTAGTCATCATCCTTCAGCTTTCCATGATGATGGCATGGACTTTAAAGATATAATTTTGTCCCGACAAAAAATAAACCAACTCCTAAATGAAGTTTCAAGACTTGTGTCTGAAATTGTCTATTGGAGGGATATTGGTCACACTTCAACAGCACGAGGAACACATAGCTCTACTCAAAGAGAAATAAACAAACTACAAAATATTAAGGAACTGAAACAGAACCAAAGTCAGGAAATAGATGACCATCAACATGAAATGTCAGTACTGAAGACTGTGCACCACCAGAAATTGACAGAAATAAGTCAACAACATCAAGAAGAATTAAGTGACTACGAAGAACGAACTGAAGAACTCACAAATCTGTTACAACAAGGTGGCCTTGGAGTTACAGAAACCGATCACTCTAAAATCTATGAGATGCAAAAAACTATTCAATTTCTACAAACAGAAAAAGTGGAGTCTACCAAAAAAATTGAAGAATTTGAGGATAAAATAAAAGATATAAATAAAAAATTATCTTCTGCAGAAAATGATAGAGATATTTTAAGGAAAGAAAAAGAACAGCTAAATGTGGAAAAGAAACAAATATTAGAAGAATGTGAAAACTTAAAATTGGAGGGTAGTGAATTGCAGCCCTATGGTATGAAGCAAAGTGATACTGTGACAGAAAAGGGAAGAATTATTGCACAGAGTGCATCAGCGGAAGAAGTGTTCAGACGACAACAAGCAATGTCTGATGCCAACAATGAAATAATGAGATTGAGTATTTTAAACCAGGATAACAGTCTTGTTGAAGACAATCTGAAACTTAAAATGCATACTGAAGACCCAGAAAAAGAGAAGTCATTACTGAGTCAAGAAAAAGAAGAACTTCAGATGTCACTTTTAAAATCAAACAATGAATATGAACTAATTAAAAGTGCAGCTACAAGAGACGTAAGTTTGGATTCAGAATTATATAATTTAAGACTTAATTTGGAAGCAAAGGAACAAGAACTCAATCAGAGTATTAGTGAAAAGAAAATCCTGACAGCTAAGATAGGAAAACTGGACAGACAGAATCAAGATGCTAAAATGCACATGCTTCTGATAAAAGATCAGCTATCAAAACAACAAAATGAAGGAGATGACATCATCAGTAAACTGAAACAAGATCTAAATGATGAAAAAAAGGAAGTCCATCAACTTGAAGGTGATAAAATGGACATTATTAAAGAGTTAGATGTACAAAAAGAAACACCGCTTCAACGTGAAGTGGCCCTAAATGATTTAGTAGATCAGCTAAATAAATCACACACAAAAAAATGTGCATCCAGACGGAGAATGTGGAACTTAAAGAGCGTATTAGACAAAATGACGAGGAGCTTTCTAGACTCAGGAATGAGTTAACTCACTCTTTAAATCAAGACTCTAGTAGTAATTTTAAGGATTACTTAAAGAAAAAGAAGCCGAAGTTAGAAACTTGAAGCAAAGTCTTTCAGAATTACAGCAGCTCAATGAAAATTTAAAGAAAGTTGTTTTTGATGTCAAAATGAAAAATGAAAAGTTAGTTTCAGCATGTGAAGATGTGAGGCATCAGCTGGAAGAATATATTGCTAATAGCAATCAGCTTTCTCTTGAAAAAAACACCATTCTGGAGACTCTAAAAATGGAAAAAGGAGAGATAGAAGCAGAATTGCGTCAGGCTAAGAAGAAGCTATTGGAAGAAGCAAATGAGCATGAGAAAACCATTGAAGAATTGTTAAATGCATGTCACTTGATTACCTCTGCCTTGCAGCTGAACATGAGCATTTAATTAAACTCAGTCAAAAGAAAGACATTGAAACAGCAGAACCCAAAAAGAATATTGGACAAATGGATACTAATCATAAAGAAATTAAGGACATTTTGTCATCTAGTCTAGAAGAGCAGAAGCAAGTGACACAACTTTTAAACGAGAAAGAAATTTTTATTGAAAACCTTCAAGAAAAAAGTTCAAAGTTGCAGGAGGAATTGGATAAATATTCTCAGGCCTTAAGAAAACATGAAATTTTAAGACAGACCATATGGGAAAGGGACAGAAGTCTTGGATCCATGAAAGAGGAAAATAATCATCTCCAAGAAAAACTGGAATGGCTCGGGGAACAGCAGAGTTGAACTGCACCTGTGGCTGATCCAAAAACCCTTGATAGTGTTACTGAACTAGAATCTGAGGTATCTCAACTGAACGTGATCAAGGATCATCTTGAAGAGAAAACTGAACACTATCCAATGATAACTGAAGGTCAAAACCAGAGTAAGATGCAACTACTTCTGTCTTTACAAGAGCAGAAGGACATGGATGAGTTGAGAAACCAGCATGAGCAAAGGAACGGGACGCACACCCAGCTCTGTTTAGAGAACAATGAGGAAGTTAAGTGTTTGCAAAAAACAATTGAACCAATCAAAACCCAGTTTTATCAAGAAAAGCAGAAGATTCAAACAGGTAACTCTGATGTTTTTCAAGAAACCAAAGTTCAGAGCCTTAATATAAAAAACAGAAGTGAGCATGATTTATCTAAAGCTGAAATGGAAGGATTAGTGAAAAGGAATCAGAGCGAGAACTGGAGACTAAACTTATAAATGAAAAGAATGTAGCTTTAACTGAACCGATTGATCACTTGTCCAAAGATGAAGTTGCTAAACTAAATCAGATCATTCAGCAGAAAGATTTGGAGGTACAAGCTCTTCAGGCTAGAACGCCTTCAACTTCCTATAATCAAGTGATTGTTCACCTTCAACAGCAAGTGCAGGCCTATGCTATGGAAAGAGAACAGCTATTCTTATATGAATAAGAAGACTACGGAAAATAACTATCTAAAAAGAAAGTATCACAAAATGATGGATACAGTTGCTGCCAAAGAAGCAGCTCTCATGAAACTGCAAGATGAAAATCAAAAATTGTCCACTAGATTTGAAAGTAGTGACCAAGATATGTTTAGAGAAACTCCTCAGAATTTATAACGTATCATTTGAGAGAGAGACATCGAAACAGATGAACTAAGTCAAAAATATCAGACCTTGTTGGCAGTTTTACAAACATCCAGCACTGGTAATGAGGTTGGAGGTGTTAATAGTAATCAATTTGTGGAGCTCTTACAGGAACGTGACGAGTTAAAACAGCAAGTAAAGAGAATGGAAGAGTGGAAACAGCAGGTGATGACCACAGTACAAAATATTGAACATGAGTCCGCCCAGTTTCAGGAAGAACTTCACCAACTTCAGGCACAAGTTTTGGTTGACAGTGATAATAATTCTAAATTACAAGTGGACTATACTGGCCTGATCCAAAGTTATGAGCAGAACGAAACCAGACTCAAAAATTTGAGGCAGGAATTAGCACAAGTTCAGCACAGCACTGGGAATATTTGCAATACCAAGGATGTTCTTTTAGGAAAACGTGGTATTATTTCACCCCAGCTGTCGTCAGCGTCATTGCTGACTCCCCAGTCAGCAGCAAGTAAGTGTGATGTATTGAATGAATCTTCTGAATTGCTACAGCAAGAGTTAGAAGAGCTCAGAAAATCACTACAGGAAAAAGACGCAACAATTAGAACGCTCCAGGCAAATAATCAGAGATTGTCTGATTCAATTGCTGCCACCTCAGAGCTAGAAAGAAAAGAACACGAAAAAACTGATTCACAAATTAAGCAGCTAAAGGAGAAACAAGATGTTTTGCACAAGTTACTTAAGGGAAAAGACACCTTAATCAAAGTCAAAAATGATCAATTACTTTCTTCCAATGAAAATTTCACTAACAAAGTAAATGAAAACAAATTTTTGAGACAGGAAGTCACAAACCTGAAGGAGAGAATATTAATTCTAGAGACAGACACTGGCAAACTAAAAGGAGAAAAGGAAAACATAGTAGAAACATCCAGAGAAAAAGAAACAGAATATCAAGCATTGCAAGAGACTAACGTGAAGTTTTCTAAGATGCTGCCAGAAAAAGAGTTTGATGCCATTCAATGAAGGAGAAGGGTCTTGCTTTTGAAGAGCTATTGAAAGAAAAAGAACAGGGCAAGACTGGGGAGTTAAATCAATGCAGAAGATAGCTGTGTTTCAATAGGAGAGAGACCAAGTCATGTTGTCTCTGAAACAAAAGCAAATGGAAAACACTGCCCTACAGAATGAGGTTCAACGTTTACGTGACAACAAATTTCAGTCAAACCAGGAGCTAGAGAGATTGCGTAATCATCTTCTAGAATCAGAGGATTCTTATACCCACGAGGCTTTGGCCGCAGAAGATAGAGAGGCTAAACTAAGAAAGGAAGTCACAGTATTGGAGGAAAAGCTAGTTTCATCCTCTAATGCAATGGAAAATGCAAGCCATCAAGCCAGTGTGCAGGTAGCATCATTGCAAGAACAACTGAATATAGTCTCCAAGCAAAGGAATGAAAGTGTGCTGCAGCTTTCTGCCCCTCAGGAACAAGTAAAGCAGTATGCTGTGTCACTGGCCAACCTGCAGATGGTACTACAGCGTTTCCAACAAGAGGAACAAGCTATGTATTCTGCTGAGCTAGAAAAGCAAAAACATCTTAGAGCTGAATGGAAGAAAAAGGAGGAACATCTGGAAAGAAAAGTGTTATCATTACAGGAACATTTGGATGAAGCAAATGCTGCATTGGATTCAGCATCAAGACGTACAGAACAAATTGAGGAACTTAGAAAACAAAACGAGGTCTGACCAGAAATGCCGGATGATGTACAAAAGAAACTGATGAACTTAGCAGACACCTCAGAAGGAAAAGTGGACAAAGTCCTAATGAGAAACCTGTTCACTGGTCCTTTCCAGGCACTGAAACATCAGCGTCATGAAGTGTTACGGTTGATGGGGAGCATCCTGGGTGTGAGAAGGGAGGAGATGGAGCAGTTGTTTCGTGACAGTCATGGAGGTGTTACCAGGTGGATGACTGGGTGGCTCGGAGGAGGATCAGAAAGTGTTCCCAGTACACCTTTGAAATCAAATCAGCAATCTGTGCCTCATAGTTCTTTTTCAGAACTTGTAGTTAAATTTGTAGAAACAGAATCTCATTCATCTGTTCCACCACCAAAGCTTTCTGTTCATGATATGAAACCTCTAGATTCACCAGGAAGGAGAACACTAGATACAAATGCACCAGAAAGTTTTAAAGATACAGCACAATCCAGGTCTGGTAAAACTACAGATGTAAATCCATTTTTGGCTGCCGGCTCAGCAGCTATGCCTCTTATTAACCCAGCTGGACTTGGGGACTTCTATGTGGTGAGCCCCGGCATCACCTTTTGAAACTCATCTCAGATGTTTGGCCCACACTTACACCTTTGCCAGTGTTACCTGATAACAGTGCTGGAGCTGCACTGAAAGGCCTTTTAAAGCAATAGAGGATTCAGCCAGAGACGATTTAGCACTTCAAATAAACCACGAACACTATATGTATGTACTTTATCACAAAATGGCTTTTTGCAAAAAGTCATGTATTTGTTTATGATTGTGCTTCCTCTGAATTTCATAAAAATATTCCTGTTTTTAGAAACTGCAGGTATCAGGAGCAAGTGTTTATTACATCACCTGCTTTATTCCTTCTGATTTGACCTAGTTTAAGCTAGGAAGATTTGATTTATCTTTTATCTTAACTTAAAAAAATACAGACACACAAAAATAGCAGTAGCTGTATGTTAGCTTTTTATTTCCTTCTGTGATTTCCAAGCCCATTTAAGCTAGAGATTGTGGTTTATCAAAAGAGTTTTTTTTTTTTTTTTTAAGTGAAGAAGCGGCTTCTCTGCATAGTGTGAAGAGTTGATCTGAAGCATATATTGATCATCTTTAGAGGACTTTTGTGAACAGGCCAACAAGACTGCCCCTGAAAGGTTATAGGCGCCCTGACACAAAGTATGTATTTGGTCCTGTGCAATGTTATCATGTGTGTAGATTCTTTTTTTGTAGTTGTTTTCAATAGAGATGGGGTCTCACTATGTTGCCAGGCTGGTGTCAAACTCTGGGGCTCAAGTGATCCTCCCTCCTCAGCCTCACAAAGTGCTTGGATTATAGGCATGAGCCACTGTGCCCAGCCCTGTATGTAGATTCATGTGATTACCACCATAGTCAAGATACAAAACACTTCCATCACATGCATCCACTCCCCTCTCTGGCTGCCCTCTCATAATCACAGCCACCTCTCTCCCTGTCCCTCTCCTAAATCCCCGACAACCATTAACTGTTCTCCATCTCAGTCATTCTGTTATTTGGGAGTGTTATATAAATGGAATCAGTATGTCACCTCTTGAGACTGGCTTTTTTTCACTCAGTAACTCCCTTGAGACCCATGCAAGTTTTCGGGTGTGTCACTTGTTTTGTCCTTTTTATTGTTGGGTGTATAGTCCAGATATATCACTTAGTTTTAACAGCTAAGATATCTATTTAAAGATATCAACTTAAAACTAAATGTTTCTTTACACAAATTCATACAACTTTCATGTAAGTATTAAACCATACAGCTGCATCTACATAACTATAATTAGCAACATCACTGAACATGCCACTTCCTGATATATGAGGTACAGCAATCCAGCCTGATATTGGGTAGTTTCTAAAAGAAAGGAGGAGGACCGACTCAAGATGGCGTGATGAGAACAACCCAGGATTGAAGCTCTCGGTGAATGTGCGGAGGGTGAGTCAGGACCGCATTTCCAGATGGATCTTTGTTGCCCACAGAACAGGGAAATTCCCAGGTATAAAAGAGACGCGGGACGCCAGGCAGAGGTTTTGGCTGGTGCAGCCGGCAGCCGGCGCTGTAGTGCAGCGGCGCTCCGCAGTGCTCTGCACAAAGCACACTGGTCCGGGTGCCCTGTTGAACCGGCAATCTGAGACTTGAGAGGGCAGATTGGCATATCCATCTGACTGAACGGGACTTGGACAGTGAGCCAGACCAGGAGATTCCAGGTAAACGGCATTTGGGCCAGCGCAGTGGGACAAACAAAACAGCGATTCCAAACGCTCCGGGTGGAGAGTTTCACTGCGGTCACAGCTGAACCCAGGACGGTGCAGCTCGGTGGCGGAGGGGTGTCTGCCATTACCGAGGCAATCCACCCCTGCTGAGGGACATGCCCATTGCTGACGCAGCCTGCAGTTGCCGAGGCAACCCGCCACAACTGATAGACTCCACCGCAGGGCGTAGCCCGTGGCAGCAGGGTGGAGACTGAAGCAGCAGGGCAGAGCCTGCAGCAAAAGGGCGAACCTCACACCAGCAGGGCAGAGCCTCGGCAGGCAAATAGTGACTAGACTGCCTCCTAGCTAGGCAGGACAGCGCAACGGACACTCATAAAGAAAGCCCCAAACCCCGGAGACAGAGCATCTGAGAAAAAAAGGGGTTTTTTAAATGAGTTCTGCTGCAGCAGCCTAACAGCCCTGAATGAACAACAGAGCTCACAGCTTAGCACTTGAGCTCCTCTAAAGTACAGACTGTCTCCTCAAGCAGCTCCCTGACCCCTCTATATCCAAAAGACTGACATTTGGCAGGTATCATTCTGGGACAAAGATAGCAGAAAAAGAAACTGGTAGCATCCCTCACTGTTCCGCAGTTGCTATAGGTGCGCTCCAGACTAGCAGGGCCTGGAGTGGACCTCAGCAGTCGTACAGTGGAGGGGCTAGACTGGTACAAGGAAAACCAAGTAACAGAAATACTTCATCATCAACAATCTGGGCGTCCACTCAGAGACCCAATTGAAAAGTCAGCAACTACTCAGACAACAGGTGGATAAATCCACAAAGATGGGAAGAAACCAGCGCAAAAAGGAGGAAAACACCCGAAACCAGAACACCTCGCCTCCTAGAAAGGACCAAAACTCCTCACCAGCAAGGGAACAAAGCTGGACGGAGAATGACTGTGACGAAATGACAAAATTAGACTTCAGAAGGTGGATAATGAGAAACTTTTGTGAGCTAAAAGAACATGTTTTAAATCAATGCCAAGAAACTAAGAACATTGAAAAAAGATTCGAGAAAATGATAACAAGAATGGGTAACTTAGAGAGTAATATGAATGAATTAAAGGCGCCGAAAAACACAATACGAGAACTTCACGAAGTATGCACAAGTTTCAACAGCCGAATTGACCAAGCAGAAGAAAGGATATCAGAAGTCAAAGATCAACTCAATGAAATAAAACGAGAAACCAAGATCAGAGAAAAAAGTACAAAAAAAAAATGAACAAAGTCTCCAAGAAATGTGGGACTATGTGAAAAGACCTAACCTACATATTTGATAGGCGTACCAGAATGTGACAAAGAGAATGAATCCAAGCTGGAAAATACTCTTCAGGACATTATCCAGAAAAATTTCCCCCACGTAGCAAGGCAGGCCAACATTCAATTGGAGTAAATACAGAGAACACCACAAAGATATACCGCAAGAAGAGCAACCCCAAGGGACATATCGTCAGATTCAACAAGGTTGAAATAAAGGAGAAAATACTAAGGGCAGCCAGAGAGAAAGGTCGGGTCACCCACAAAGGGAAGCCTATCAGACTCACAGCAGATCTCTCGGCAGAAACTCTGCAAGCCAGAAGAGAGTGGGGGCCAATATTCAACATCCTTAAAGAAAAGAACTTTCAACCCAGAATTTCATATCCAGCCAAACTGAGCTTCAGAAGTGAAGGAAAAATAAAATCCTTTGAGAACAGGCAAGTACTCAGAGATTTTGTCACCACCAGCCCTGCTTTACAAGAGCTCCTGAAAGAGGCACTACACATAGAAAGGAACAATGGGTACCAGCCATTCCAAAATCACACTAAATGCTCAAGAGTATCAACATAATGAAGAATCTACAACAACTAACGAGCAAAACAGCCAGCTAGCATCAAAATGGCAGTATCAAATTCACACATAATAATATAAACCTTAAATGTAAATGGACTAAATGCACCAATCAAAAGACATGGACTGGCAAATTGGATAAAAATCCAAAACCCATCAGTGTGCTGTATCCAGGAAACCCATCTTACATGCAAGGATACACAAGGGCTCAAAATAAAGGGATGGAAGAAGATTTGCCAAGCAAATGGAGAGCAAAAAAAAGCAAGAGTTGCAATTCTCATCTCTGATAAAATAGACTTTAAAGCAACAAAGGTCAAAAGAAACAAAGGCCATTACATAATGGTAAAAGGATCCATACAACAAGAAGAGCTAACGATCCTAAACATACATGGACCCAATACAGGAGCACCCAGATACATAAGGCAAGTTCTTAATGACTTACAAAGAGACTTAGACTACCACACAATAATAGTGGGAGACTTTAACACTCCACTGTCAATACTAGACAGACCAACCAGACAGAAAATCAACAAGGATATCCAGGGCTTGAACTCAGACCTGGAGCAAGCAAACCTGATAGACATTTACAGAACTGTCTACCCGAAATCCACAGAATACACATTCTTCTCAGCACCACATCACACCTACTCTAAAATTGACCACATAATTGGAAATAAAGCACTACTCAGCAAATGCAAAACAACTGAAATAATAACAGTCTCTCAGACCATAGTGCAATCAAGTTAGAACTCAGAATTCAGAAACCAACCCAGAACTGCACAGCTTCATGGAAACGGAACAACTGGCTCTTGAATGTTGACTGGATAAACAATGAAATGAAGGCAGAAATAAAGAAGTTCTTCGAAACCAATGAGAACGAAGACACAACATGCCAGAATCTCTGGGACACATTTAAAGCAGTCTCTGGAGGAAAATATATAGCAATAAGTGCCCATATGAGGAGAATGGAGAGATCCAAAACTGACAATCTATCATCAAAATTGAAAGAGCTAGAGGAGCAAGATCAAAAAAACTCAAAACCCAGCAGAAGACAAGAAATAACTAAGATCAGAGCTGAACTGAAGGAGACAGAGACACGAAAAACCCTTCAAAAAATCAATAAATCCAAGAGCTGGTTTTTTGAAAAGATCAACAAAATAGACAGACACCTAGCCAGATTGATTAAAAAGAAAGAGAGAACAACCAAATAGATGGAATAAAAAATGATAAAGGGGAAATCACCACAGATTCCACAGAAATTCAAACCATCATCAGAGAATATTACAAACAACTCTATGCACATAAACTAGTAAACCTGGAAGAAATGGATAAATTCCTGGACTCCTGTGTCCTCCCAAGCCTAAACCAGGGGGAAGCTGAAACTATGAATAGACCAATAACAAAGTCAGAAGTCGAGGCAGCAATTAAGAGCCTACCGCACAAAAAAAGCCCAGGTCCAGATGGGTTCACAGCCGAATTCTACCAGACACACAAAGAGGAGCTGGTACCATTCCTTCTGAAACTATTCCAAATTATCCAAAAAGAGGGAATCCTTCCCAAATCATTTTATGAGACCAATATCATCCTGATACCAAAACCCAACAGAGACCCAACAAGAAAAGAAAACTTCAGGCCAATATCCATGATGAACATAGATGCAAAAATCTTCAATAAAATACTGGCAAGCCAATTGCAACAGCACATCAAAAAGCTTATCCATCATGATCAAGTAGGATTCATCCCGGGGATGGAAGGCTGGTTCAACATACGCAAGTCTATAAACGTAATTCACCACATGAACAGAACCAAAAACAAAAACCACATGATTATCTCAATTGATGCAGAGAAGGCATTCGACAGAATTCAATAGACCTTTATGCTAAAAACCCTCAATAAACTTGGTATCGATGGAACGTATCTCAAAGTAATAAAAGCTATTTATCACAAACCAACAGCCAATATCATACTGAATGGGCAAAAACTGGAAGCATTCCCTTTGAAATCCGGCACTAGACAAGGATGCCCTCTTTCACCACTCCTATTCAATATAGTACTGGAAGTTCTAGCCAGAGCAATCAGGCAAGAAAAAGAAATAAAGGGCATTCAAATAGGAAAGGTGGAAGCCAAATTGTCTCTATTTGCAGACGACATGATAGTATACTTAGAAGACCCCATCGCCTCAGCCCAAAAACTCCTGAAACTGATAAGCAACTTCAGCAACGTCTCAGGATATAAAATCAATGTGCAAGAATCACAGGCATTCTTCCAGACTTGAAGAAAGCCAAATCAAGAACGAACTGCCATTCACAATTGCCACAAAAAGAAAAAAATACCTAGGAATACAACTCACAAGGAACGTAAGGGACCTTTTCAAGGAAAACTATAAACCACTGCTCAACGAAATAAGAGAGGACACAAACAGATGGAGAAACATTCCATGTTCATGGTTAGGAAGAATTAATATCGTGAAAATGGCTATACTGCCCAAAGTAATTTACAGAATCAACGCTATCCCCATCAAGCTACCATTGACTTTCTTCACAGAACTGGGAAAAACCACCATGAACTTCATATGGAACCAAAAGAGAGCCCGCATAGCCAAGTCAATTCTAAGCAAAAAGAACACAGCGGGGGGCATCACACTACCGGATTTCAAACTATACTACAAGGCTACAGTAATCAAAACAGCATGGTACTAATACCAAAACAGAGATAGAGACCAATGGAACAAAACAGAGGCACCGGAGGCAACACAACATATCTACAACCATACAATCTTTGATAAACCTGACAAAAACAAGCAATGGGGAAAGGATTCCCTGTTTAATAAATGGTGTTGGGAAAACTGCCTAGCCATGTGCAGAAAGCAGAAACTGGACCCCTTACTGACACCTTACACTAAAATTAACTCCAGATGGATTAAAGACTTACACATAAGACCTGGCACCATAAAAACCCTAGAAGGAAATCTAGGCAAAACTATCCAGGACATAGGAGTAGGCAAGAACTTCATGAACAAAACACCAAAAGCATTGGCAACAAAAGCCAAAATAGACAAATGGGACCTAATCAAACTCCACAGCTTCTGCACGGCAAAAGAAACAATCACTAGAGTGAATCGGCAACCAACAGAATGGGAAAACATTTTTACAGTCTACCCATCTGACAAAGGGCTGATATCCAGAATTTACAAAGAACTCAAACAGATTTACAGGAAAAAAACAAACAAGCCCATTCAAAAATGGGCAAAGGATATGAACAGACACCCTACGAAAGAAGACATATATGACGCCAACAATCATATGAAAAAATGCTCATCGTCACTGGTCATCAGAGAGATGCAAATCAAAACCACATTGAGATACCATCTCACGCCAGTTAGAATGGCGATCATTAAAAAATCTGGAGACAACAGATGCTGGAGAAGATGTGGAGAAAAAGGAACACTTTTACACTGTTGGTGGGAGTGTAAATTAGTTCAACCATTGTGGAAGACAGTGTGGCGATTCCTCAAGGCCTTAGAAATAGAAATTCCATTTGACCCAGCAATCCCATTACTGGGTATATATACCCAGAAAGGACTATAAATCATTCTACTATAAGGACACATGCACACGAATGTTCATTGCAGCACTGTTTACAATAGCAAAGACCTGGAACCAACCCAAATGCCCATTGATGATAGATTGGATTGGGAAAATGTGGCACATATACACCATGGAATATTATGCAGCAATCAGAAATGATGAGTTCGTGTTGTTTGTAGGGACATGGATGAATCTGGAGAGCATCATTCTCAGCAAACTGACGCAAGAACAGAAAATGAAATACCACATATTCTCACTCATAGGTGGGTGATAAAAAATGAGAATACATGGACACAGGGAGGGGAGTACTAAACACTGGGGTCTATTGGGGGGGAAAGGGGAGGGCCAGCGGCGGGGGGGAGGGAGGTGGGGAGGGATAGCCTGGGGAGAAATGCCAAATGTGGGTGAAGGGGAGAAGGGAAGCAAAACACACTGCCATGTGTGTACCTATGCAACTGTCTTGCATGTTCTGCACATGTACCCCAAAACCTAAAATGCAATAAAAAATTTAAAAAAAAAAGAAAGAAGTTTAATTGACACAGTTCCACATGGCTGGGAGGACTCAGGAAACTTACAACCATGACAAAGGCAGGGAGGCAGGAGGGTGGCTTTGCTGACCTCATGTGACCCAACTGCATCAGCCTCCCAAAGTGCTGGGATGACAGGCGTGTGCTACCACACCTGGCCTAGTTGAGCTGCTTTTACCAGTGAGTAAGAATACAAATCAACAAAACATTTCAAAATAAGAGATGCTTAGTTGTGTTAAAAAAACCAAATAATAGGCACAAAGAAACTTTTTAAAAAATGGAAATGGAAATGAACACTTTCTGGAAAGAGGAAAATTGTATTTCTAGAAAAGCTACCCAAATAAAGGTATATTAAAAGATAGAACTGCCTAAGATTTAGGGGTCCTCAATTGTACCACTAATAATTATGCCCACAATTTTATCCTAAATAAGAGTGATTCCCTGTTCCTCTTCCTATGGAACATGTCCTGTTCCCAAGGAGAACAAGAAAACATGATCCCTCCAGCCAGGACCTAACTAAACCCAGGAGTGGGTAAGCAGATTAGAATCACCTGTGGGCATTTTCCCCCAAACCACTCACACTCTCTGTACATTCTGATAAGCCTTCCTAAAGAAGCTACAGCTCTTTCCCATTCCCTATCTGAAACAGGGAACCACTGCTGTTGGTCAGGTTGTGCCAAAAGGTGGTTAACCCACCACTGAGCAGTGGCTATCACAATAGACATACAATATCAGATGTCATTGTAAATGGCCACAGTCTAAAAGAAACCGAAAAAGAAAAATAAAAGATGTTGAGATAATAATGTTTACTTTGGGTTATTATTAATAATAGCAGTCTCAGTTGCCAACCAATCAGCCAGGTCATGATGATGATGATGAAAACTTTTGATTATTGGTTTTTTTTTTTTTTAAGATGGGTTTTCACCATGTTGGTCAGGCTGGTCTTGAACTCCCGACCTCAGGTGATCTGCCCGCCTTGACCTTCAAATTGCTTGGTTTACAGGTGTGAGCCACCACACCCAGCCTTTTTTCCTTTTTCTTTTTTTTTTTTGACTTCTGATTATTGTTAAGGACAACAATCAAAACATAAAATTATGAGACTGATTCTCCAGGCTTTTAGAAAAGTTACTTAAAAAGAGACAAAATGATGCTCCCTGATATGGTTCGGCTGTGTCCCCAGCCAAACCTCATCTTGGATTGTAGTTCCCATAATTTTCACATGTTGTGGGAGGAACCTGGTGGGAGATAATTGAACCATGGAGGTGCTGTCCCCAATACTGTTCTTGTGGTAGTGGGTAATATAACAAGATCTGATGATTTCTTAAGGGGTCCCCCTTTTTGCTTGGCTCTCATTTCTCTCTTGCTTCCCACTATGTAAGACCTGCCTTTCACCTTCTACCACGATTGCGAGGCCTCCCTGGCCACATGGAACTGTGAGTCCATTAAACCTTTTTCTTTATAAATGCCGCGGTCTCGGGTATGTATTTATCAGCAGTGTGAAAATGGACTATACATTCTCTCCTTCAGCAGAGGGCTCACAACCTTAGCACAGTAAATGAAAGCAACACACTAGTGGCTGCACCATCAATGTAGTAATCTAGACTACATTAACTTGAGTAAGTCAAATTCTTCACTTACCATTTGTTAGTCTATCAAATAGAAAGATATCAAAATTCCAATTTCCAACTTTTTCCAGCATACACTGAAATGAAAACCAAACATTCCTACTGTAATTTAATTTCAGTAACATTGTATTTTGTAGCTATTCCATAGAGAAGTTAATGTAAATGGAAAGTGATTTATTTACTTTAAAAAAAAATACAAGTATCATTCTCCTTTTAATCATGACTTTTTCAACTGGCTCCAAAAAATGCCCAAAGGGATAAACTCTATTTGAAAAATGAAACATTATTTTGTTTTTCAATTAGTAAATGCACAGGAAGGTTATGTTTCTCAATTTATTCCTATAGGCTGGCACATCTTCAAGAATTCTAGTATCACTCAACATCACAGAAGTGTAGTTCAAATGTCGTGTGGTTTAGAAACTAAATTGTAAAAAATCTAATAAAAATAAGTTACACTACTGAGTATTTACTATACTCCGGGTACTAATTTACTCCCTCTTTTACTACTCACAACACTATCAGACATAGTTTTCCTTTTTTGAGACAGGGTCTCACACTCACTGTCACCAAGGCTGGAGTGCAGGGGCATGAACAGACAGCTTACTGCAGCCTCAACCTCCTGAGAAGCTGAAACCACAAGCATGTGTTATCACACCTAATTTTTTTTTTTTGTAGAGACAAGATCTCAGCATGCTGCCCAGGCTCATATCAAACTCCTGGGCTCAAGTGATTCTCCCACCTTGGTCTGCCAAAGTGCTGGGATTACAGGCAAGAGCCACTGACTGCACATGGCACAGGCATTGTTTTCAATTCTCATTTCATTTTATGGATGTAGAAACAAGCAAAAAAAAAAAAAACTTGCTCAGCTATAAAGTGATAGAGCTCAGTCTTTAGTAGTCTGTTTCTAGAATCTAGGTATCTGACACGGATACCATATCATGCTTAAATTATTTGTTGTTCAGTTTTTTAAAAAACACTAACTTATGGATATTTATTTATATTATCTGAATATGCTTATAAAATAATACAATTTACTACATTAACTTTTTAATGTGTACTTCAGCCAAGCAAACAAATCCTACGAAGACCCTAAAAACCAAATAGTGTTATACCATATATTCTCTTTTTTTAATCTTCTTTATTGTATACCATATATTCTTAACCTGAACATTTTGCGAACTTTTTCTAGAAAAAAACTTTTATATCCAAAGGTTCACCGTTGTATACATTTATGAATACACTGACATTGGCAACACTAAGATACTACTAGTAGAGATCATTAATTATGACAGTATGAATAACAACAAATGATATACAGATCAATATTTTCATTCTAAATGGCAGAACTTGTAAACTTTTTAACATTTAAAGCAAGCATGAAGACCTTCCACTGATTTATTTTACTAAACAGGGAAGCATTTTTTTTCACTTTCATGTAACTGTAAAGAAGACATCCCAGCTTTATCTACACAACTTAGAAACTTAACCTATGCAAACTTAAAAATCTAGTCTTATAAATATTAAGTCAAATAATGACAAAATACATTGAAAATTTAAGATTACTTAAAATCCTCATTTGGTTAAAAACAAGTTTATTTAACCTTGACCTTCAGTAAGACATTTATTTTTAAATTATATAAAGATGAAGCAAATAATGCTCAAAATCAACAGGATTAATTATACATCTAACCCGTCAAAATCTCTCTTGATGTAAGAGACTGAAAACTTATTTGATTAAAAGTCTTAAGACCTTTGTGAAAAGGTATACACACACACACACACACACACAGGGAGAGACCCAATTTCCTGTGCTGGGTTTACCTCTAATCAGCTGGGTGAGCACAAACAAGTCCCTTGTGCTCTCTTGGACTTAGTTTCCTTACTGATGGAATACGGGCAGGTGATTAGATCAGATAAGCTCTAAGATTCTTCCCAGCATTATGATTCTGGGAGATCTTACAGTTTAATGTTCTATTGATCTCCTTGTTATGTAATGTTGTAATAACAAATGAAAACATTGTCATTACTCAATTTCCCTTGCTCTGTAATACTTAATTATAAAACAAACAGCTGCTCTAAAGAAAAAAACCTGGAAAATGGCCTTAACTGCTTTTCACAGAAAAAAAGCCTCTACAAATCATTACTATATGGGGAATAAATGGCTTCAGTAAACTTATCAAAAATTAATGTTTTCTTAAAAAAAAAACTATACACACCTTGGCTTGTCCATTATAATCATCATCTAAAATGTTTAGAGAATTTGAAACTGTAGTACCACGAAAAAAGCGTGAAGATCTAAGATATCGCTGGAAACTTAGTAGCCTTCTTATATTCCTTGCAGAGACAGACACTTCAGTTTCAGATTGAGCTGAAATAAAAAGAATAAAAGGTGAGTAAAGCAAGTCAAAATCATACACATGCTATCTTTGCAATATCACTTTTAGTTATGTACAAGTATTTTTAAAAATTCATTTAAATAATTATACCACATTTCCAGAAGAGAAGAGATACTTTATTTCATCTTCTTTTTTTAAGTGAGTTCTCACTCTATTATATTTCTATTTTCAATGAAAGAACTAAGGATGAAGATCAATGGCCAATTTTGACAGCATTTAGAAAGCTAATGAAGACTGGCAGGGTTAATAATCAGGGTTTTTTTTTTTTTTTTTACTTTCAAATACTATCACCTCTTACTCTTTTGCTTCAATATACCACATAAACATGGAGCAGAAACATAAAAAAAAACAAGTTTCAAACTACTAGAGAAGTTAGGTCCTAAGTTACATATGAGATTTTTAACAATTACACAACTAAAACATTTCATATCCCAATGAAATTTCATTTCAAATATTTCTTAAGATAATTAAGAGGAAAAGAAAACAGAAGGGGGAGCAAAGTGGTTTATATCCTACAAGTGTTCTAAAGGATAGGGCTAAAAATTATTTAAGGTGATATGCTCTAGAAAAGGTGCAGTTCTACACTGGAGACTGGAACATTCTCTTTTAGTGAGTCTAACAGCAATTTTTTCCCTCTAGTGTTAGAATAAACCAGAGTTCCTTGAATTGGGCACCAGATGAAATGACAGATTTGGGCTTAAAGCTATCTTGGAGGGAATATACATTATCTTTAGATTCTAAAATCAAATCAAATTCAGTAAAATGTTCACAATATGAAACATGAAAATCAAGACTGAGGATCAACAAATCATCTCTCTTAATTTAGAATCACCAGGTGAAATGGAAGGTAATCAAACATATTCTCTCTTGCATGTCCCGTCACTCACTCCTCTATTAACCTCTATTGCTCTGTGTTTCCTTACCTGTATAATATAATGGCAATAATATCTAATTGAAGGGGTGCGCATTAAATGAGATAATATATACAGAAGTCAGAGATGGAGCAGGTGTTAAATGGTAGCAATGTCGAGGACGATAAAATTGATGCTGCTCCCCTTGGTTGGAGGTGTGCTTCTAGGTAATTAACAGCAATTATCAATCTGCTCATCTTCTCTAAATAAAAGCATTTAATGGCTCTCCATCATCTTAATATGAACTTCATTTCCTTAGCTTGGAAGAGAAGGCTTCATGTTCCAAGTCCGGCTCTTTGCAGACTTGACTCAGGTGTCACCTTCCCTGGGAAGCACATTCAAGACACTGCCCCTATCCTGAAGCAGCAGGAAGCACCACCCCTCTGGCTTCCCAAAGCTATTATAATTCTTCTGATATTATAATTACTTATTTGTCTCCTTGAACAGATGATGACCTTCAATACGACATCAACTATCTTTTTCACTTCTGTATTCCAAAGCCTAACAGTAATGCAAAGTATATAGCAGGTAATTGTAAAATATACTTAATAAATGCATACTATTTAAAAAAATCTGAGGCACTTTAAGGTTCCTATACACATAAATAAACCAGAAGTAAAATAATGCACAGTTATGTGATTTACTTCTCCCATTTTTCATGCCAGTGAGTAAACGGCAAGTATCTAAAACAACGGTGAATCTTAAATTTCTGATCTTTACCAATGTAACTTACTTTATAAAAAGGACCAGAACCAAAATAGTAAAAACTATTAATATCAAGTGATGATCATGTTTAAACTAGAATGGGTCTGTTTGAAGATATTAGGGTAGATTACATTCTATGAAAGCAATGTTCTGAGTGCTTTGTAAAAAGAATCTCATTTAGTCATCAACAACTTCAGAAGATAAACATTATCCCCCACTTTACACATGAGAACACTGAACCTACAAGAGATTAAATAACTTTCTCAAGGTCACATAGTCATCATAGGGTGACACCTGGATTAAAAAGCACAGGTCTGTTTACAAAGCCTGTTTACTCACAAGGGTTTTAAAATTATATCTACAGCATTGTTTATTTACTGTTCATTATAAAGATCTGTGTACATCATTATTCAAATAGTCTTTACTTCAGATGAAGGTATGGACAGAAAAAGAAACAGAAGGGAAAAAGCTAATGCAAAGGAATGTTAAGTATATAATGTACTCTTAGAATTTTATTACTAAAAAAAGTGGATCTGCAAGGGACAGAATGGCATGGCATGAATATATGGAGAGGCCATAAGATCTAATTAATGTAACACTAGTACCACCATCTCTGTATTTGTAAAGCAATTTACAGTTTTACAAAAGTATGTTCACATCCACTATCCCACTTAGTAATCATTACCATCCTGTGAAGAAGGCAAAGATTATCATCTGCATTTAACAAATACAGCCTTAGAAATCAAGATAAAAATTCAATACAATTAATGCATTAGAGCCAATATATTTAGAAAAATTTTAGAAAATGTTGCAGAATACTTGTATTTATTATGAAAAGTAACTTAAAGCAGAGTTCAAGGTCATGAGTACCACTTCATGAGCATTCCCTTTGATTTATCTTAAATTACACACAAAAGGTAACAATTTTATTATTGGCAATTAGGAATGCAGAGAGAGAGAAACAGAAACAGGTAGAGAAAGAGCAAGAGGGAGAGAGGGAGGGAAGGAGGGGGAGAGGGAGAGAAAGAGTGTGTGTGTGTATTAGGATCACATAGTATGTGTGTGAATTAGAATCGCATTGTGTGTATGTACGTGTGCATATGTGTGTGAATTTGAGAATCTCTTTGCAAGGACAACTGCATAAGGTCCAAAAAATGAAGGGGAAACTCTAACAATTCAATCCACTGTGCTCTATCACCAAGGCAGGATACACAGTATCAACAGTTAAGTCAGTTGGTACTGTCTGGGAGCCAAGGCCCCATCCATGAAATCATAGTTGTATCTTCCCCTGCCTAACTCTTACTTTCTGGGTAACTTCTGACAAGTCACAACATTCTGACATCTCATTTTCCTTAACTGGAAAAAAAAATAATCTGTTTCGTGTTTCACAGAGCCCTGAAGTTAAGATTCATTATCAAGAGTTCTATTTTGACCAAGTTAAGCTGCAAATGAATATTAGATATTGACTCACAAGGAAATGATCACTCATCATGGACGCCCAATGCCTTCCAAGACTAATCACTTAAAGAAACCTACACAACAGGATAAGAAATGAACCTTCACTTAATTATACAGAACCATCCTTAACAATTACTGATTCTGTCACACACAAATTAAGAAAGGACAGGGAGCTTGTCTAGATGAAATAGCAGGTCATTCAAAGAAAAATGTTTTCATCTATAGGGTCTGAGGGCCTCATACAGGAAGCCTACACTTAACAAGACTATATTCTGGAAAAGAATGAAAATCCATGAGATTTTGCAGAGATGCCAACTAAAACTACCTCAAAGTTTTATCTAAGATTTAATATAGGACCAGAACTTACAGAAGATGTCTGGTTTTTCTTCATTAATGTAATTTTTGAATATGTAATACATGCACATGCGTCAAAATAAGAAAAGAGGGAAGAAAATAACAATGAAAAATTCCACCTCCTATGTGTCCCCCATACAACCACTCTCAAGCCCTATCCCAAAATGGTAACCTTTATCTTAAAGTTTCCATTGTATCCTTCCTGAGTTTAAAAAAGGTAAATATATAGAAACACATATTATTGTTCTACTTATTTTACATAAATGGTAGCATATTTTACAACCTGTTCTGCATCTTGCTTTTTATCATGGATCACTCTGTCAGTGCAAAGATACCTTCCCCATTCTTTTATAAGGCTGTATTTTATCATACAGATGAATCGTAATCTATTTAACCAGTCCTCTACTGAAGGGCATTGCTCCAGTTTTACGGTTTGCAAAAATACCTCTGTTTTGTTAAATATGCTTATATTTCTACTACTTGATTGGTCAGCTTGAGATACCATCCTTTAATTTTCAGTTATTGTACATAAGGAAGTCACTCTATATGCCATCTTCTTTCCCCTTTCCTCTTCCAGTATTGTTAGTTACTAGGGCATAGTTTTTTTTCCTTTCACCCTAATCTCTACTTTCATTTTAGGCTTAGCTCTAGAAATTGAATATATTCAATACAAGTCCTTTTATCTTAATTTTTCCAGTTATCTGTTTGCTTGTGTTCATCCTCTATAGTTTCCTCAAGTGCTCATAAAAAAATTATTTCACAGCAATACATTTCACTCATATTATTGAATGTTCAATTTTTTTTTCAGTAGTCTTTGGTCTTTCTTGGTTCTCATTTTCCTTTCCTGATTTTCTTTGAAGGTACTGGTTTATTGTTTCTGGCATTAGAATTTGCAAAATCTAAGGCAAACTCATTATTTTCTCCCTTATAAGTGACTAGGTCTTTTTGTATGGCCGGCCACCCACAGAATTATTTCTCTCTGAAGTCCAATTACTTTACTAAGATCTATCTCACTGTTAACCATTCTGGGTCATTTTCAGCTGGTATGTTCTTTCAATATGCAAATTTAAATATTCTGTTTTTTCTGGAAATTTTTATTGAATTGTATTTCTAAATATCTACTCTGTTCCACTATTTTAGCTTTTTAAAATCAGAAACTCTGTCTATGCTGAACCACCTTAATCTGTTTTCCATATCTCACTTTCTCTCCAATTCTTTTTAACTATGTTTGCTTTTCTCATTTCTATCCACTATGCCCATTACTGTATTCAGTATAGATTCTACCGTGTCACCTTCCAAATCTGTCTTCCTTTCCATGATATATTTCAATTTTACTTCTACTACTTCCTGATTCTGAATGTTCACATTTCTTCATTCAAATCACCTCCTTTTGTTGTCTTATCATCTCTTCACTGAGTTCTTAAATTTGTGCTTTATGGTAAGGCTATTGTTTCATTTAATTTTTTGAGTGGTAGGAAATTTAGTCACGATTGTCATCAGCTCTATGGCAGCACTTTTCCATTAAGTGCTCTTCTGTCATTAAG